CGCCCCCTAAAAAAACAACAACAACCACCCCTTCCCAATAACAACAGCAACAACAACAACAACAATACACACATACACACACACACACACTCACACACACACAGTCACACACACACACATACACACACACACACACACACACACACTCACACACACACACACACATTAACACAGCTTTGATCGTCTAGCTGATTTGGATTATTGAATAAGCTGCCTGATTTCACACACTGCCGCAATCGGTAAAGTACATCTCGGCCATGTATTAGATTTGTTTCAGCCCTGAAAATTTAGACGAAAGCAGCATTCAATATTTTTAAAGCCGGATGTTCATGATTTGAGCTTAAGAATGAAAAAAAAAAAAAACCCACAAAAGAAAAAAACAGAACAAAACAAAACAAAAAAAAGCCGTTCTCGTCACGCGCTCAATTTTGGTTCAAAGCTGTTCAGATAAACGCAAGCTAAGTGTGTGTTGGTGACATACCATATAGTCATGTGGTCACACCACACGAGGTGCGACCTTGAGCAACCAATGACATTACGATAAATTAAGGGTATTCCTTGCGTCAGACGAAGAAAGGAAAATTTCGCACCAAAAAAAAAGAAAAAGAATTTAAAAAACCACCGGTGACCAGCAATGAGGTGTAGAATATTCATGTTTGCTGTATTGTGTACCATAATTTGTTTATTTATATTTGCATGTATTTTTGCATATACGTATATACGTATGTATACACGTTTTTGTTCATTTGTGTAAACATGTTTTTGTTCATTTATATACATGTTTTTGTTAATTTATGTGTACATGAATTTGTTTATGTATGTATGCACGTTTTTGTTCATTTATCTATACATGCATTATTTATGTAAACATTTGTTAATTTATGTAAACACATTTTTGTTCATTTATATGTACCTGTTTTTCTTCATTAATGTATGCATGAATTTGTTTATGTATGTATACCTGTATTTGTTCATTTATGTATACATGAATTTGTTCATTTATGTATACATGTATTAAATCATTTATGTATGCATGTTTTTGTTCATTTATGTATACATGTATTTGTTCATTTATGTACACATGTTTTATGCATTTGTGTTCACCATCGTAAAATAATTTTCCAATGGGGATTAATTAGCATACCTTTTATGTAATTTGTATTGTCAACCAATATTCCCGTTTCTTTACACCTATCTGCACTGCACAATGAGATTATGCTCTTGTAATGTGTGTGTTTTTATGTGTGTGTGTGTGTGTGTGTGTGTGTGTG